TTTAACAGCAATTAGTCTCGATGCCGCCTGTCTCCTCGACTCGCGAGTGCTCGGCGTATCTCTTAGATTTATATGAATCTTTGCATCAGCTACAATCTTTATCCGGTGAAGACGAGCGTATGCGTTGGCGCTGGCGTTTGTATCAGATGCAGCGCCAGTTTGAGTTTGACCAACAAGACGCTTGGGCCTCCTCTATGCTGACAATTATTGAAAATCATATTTCAGCGTTGCCAATCGAGAGCACTCGTAATGCACAACCTATTCGCACACACGCAACCTCAGCTATTGCGGAGAATGACGAGGTTCATCTTTCAATTGATGAAATGGATGCAAAGCGAAATGCCGATTCCGATACGACGGATACGACGGACAATTCGCTGCGAGATAGGACTCAGCTAATCAAGTATATGCAAAGTGCATCACGACGCACTATAAGGGCAATTACTCGTTCGGGTATTCGAGATCGTGGTCAGTCCTTGCCTGTGACTAGTTGTAGAATGAGTATTGCTGACTGTTCAGGCGAGACGAATGAAAGTAACGATTTACAAATCCCATCAGCTGTAACAGCTTCAAGTAATTCGTCAATGCCTGTCAGTGCTGAAGTGAAGAAGGAAAGAAATTTGATTTCAAACTTGGCGATATTTACGAGGCATGAACGCACCAATTTCCGCCATTCGATGCCCGATTCGCTACAGTCAATGGTTAACTATCTAGGACTATCAAATCTGAATGAGTTATTTCTATGCCAAATTTGCTATGATTATGTTCCAGTGAGCAAATCATACGCACTTGTGGTGTGTGGACACATTTTTTGTCAAGCGTGTTTGAAAAGCTTTTTGGAATTTAAAATTAAAGAAGGACAAGTGTATCCAAAGTGTTTCTTTGAAATATCGAAAAATGAAGCAGCATGCAATGCAGCAATTTCAGTGGATGATATCCAAGCACTTGTCTCGCAAAGAGTCTGGCAGAAATATACAACGTTTAAATTCAATAAGGATCATGAGCTTGCAAGACAATGTCCATATTGTGATCACTCACAAGTTTGTGCTGGGAGCGAAAATCCAGAATGCATATGTGAAGCATGCAATCGAGAATTCTGCTTTTTGCACAACAATGCTCATCAAGATGAAACATGCGCTGCGTATGAAAGGAGTATGATTGCTATCGAAAAGCTTAATAATTCTTTAATCAGCAAGATCTCCCGACGATGCCCTGGCTGCCAAAATTATGTTGAGAAAATTGGTGGCTGTAATCAGATGAAGTGCGTGGTTTGTAGCACAAGCTTTTGCTGGATTTGTCTCAAGATCATCGACGATAGTGTTTTTCCAGAACACTTTCAGGTACTGCATTTGGAATGCATAATAGTGAATGTGAGATTGACTTTTCAACCAATTGCAATTATTATAGTGGTGGAACATACGTGGCTGTGCGGGTAATCAAATGCTAGACAATGAAGGACAAAGTGCGACTCAAAAAGGAATTATAATGGTGATGCGAGTACTTTTTTTCATAATATTCGGCCCTCCTGCGCTCCTGGTGACTGTGATATTCTGTATCCTTTGCTGCTGTTTTTATCCATGCACAAGTGACGACAGCGTCTCGTTTCGACAAGCTTTCACGACATGTTTTTGTATCTCTGGTTACATTCTACTTGCACCCATTGTGCTAGTGCTGGGGCTTATAGCCGTTGCAATTTTGATTGCTGGTGCCACTGCAGGTGCTGTAGTTCTCGTATGTTTATCGCCTATAGTTGGTATAATTCTGCTTTTTCAACGGAATACTTGGCTATCAATATTAACTCATCGACAAGCACGCTCACGAAGCTCTAATCATGCCGAAACGGCCACTGCGTGCATCTTTGAAGACACTTACAATACTTCTTCGCCTAATGATCAGACAGCTTTTCATGTGTCAATATAAACGATGTCCAAATTTACCGGTATCATAAAAGGAGATAGAAACGGGGCATATGTATACTTTTGCAATGCCGTACAAAAGTCTGCGGCCTGAAGAGCGTGGCAACGCATTGTCCACATCTTTCTCATCTGCAGCGCTTGAATTCTATAGTGAAAAGCAGTCTGACGTGTATACAACATCTGCGAATGCGAGGCTTCAAGAGGATTTAACGCGACATGCACTAGAACTTCTGTTTCTAGATCTAACATGTACCAGGGCCAAAGCTGATGTCTTGTTGTTATTAGATGTGGGAGCTGGATCCGGATTAAGCACGAAGGCTGCTCAGAAATGGTCTCAAGAGAAAAAAATATCTGTATTTACGCTGGCGTTTGACATCAGTGCATCAATGTTGTCTTTGGCAGCGAAGGAGACTCGATTGTGTACCGAGTTTTACCGTGGCAATGCTGCACAGAGTTTCCCTATTCGTTGTGGTATACTCGATGGTGCTATTGGTATCTCTATGCTTCAGTGGTTGCAGCCAAGAGGATTAGAAGTGTGTTTCTCTTCACTATTTAAACTTCTTTCGGATGTCCATGACTCTCGTGTCGTGTTTCAGGTCTATCCGTCGAGTAAAGCAGATGTAGACAAGATGGAAATGATTGCTATACAAATGGGATTTTATCGTGCTGAAGCGTTTATATCATTTCCCCACATGACATCAGCAAAAAAGTGGTTTATTTGTTTGGAAAAACGGATAAGCTCTCAAACACACCATGCGCAAGAAGAAAAGCATGAATTATGTAT